TGCCAGTTGGCTGTCTTTGGACGCGTGGTTAAGAATGGCCCTCTTCAGCTCAATTACTTCCTCAAGTGCCAGGCATCTTGCTTGCTTATATATTGACAGTGCCGCACTCAGTCGATTGACCAATTTGTTCAGTATTTTTGTTTTTCCTTCCCTGAATTCTCACGGAAAAGTTAGTCGCTGCGGAACCTCAGCACAAACTCAGGGCACCAGCTGCCGGCATCCATATGGTCCCCCAGGAGCTTGATTGTGCAGGCCAGGTAGTCAAACGCCACAAGCACAGCTGATAGTCTCATAAGAAGTTGGCCTGCTGTGCGCTTCCTGCATGTTCGTGCCAGTTTGGCTACCGCATGTTTCGCCATGTAGTCGGCGTTCACCATGAGTGTGCTAACTTCTTCAGCCGTCAGGGAATCCTTGGCAAACAAGCTACGCATTTTCATGTATGCTTCCATGAGTGTAGTAACGCCTAAATCGAACGACAGTTCACGCGCGCTGTTATATCGTACGTGGACATCTTCCGGATTTACCACAGGCAGCCGCACAAAAGGATGGCGTCGAACGCCCTTAGCCCCGAAGGGTTCCCCGCTTCCACTAGTGGTTGCCTGCAGAGCTGTCATTTGAATTGGTTCTCGATCCGGTGGCTCAGCTTGAACCTTAGCTACTGAATTGTCATCGGTGGGAAAGCTCAGATGCTACTTCAGCATCACTTAAGCAGATATGTGGTCACTTTTCCTTTTTGGCGCTAAGCAATGTAAGCGGTTCCCCTAGCATNCATCACTTAAGCAGATATGTGGTCACTTTTCCTTTTTGGCGCTAAGCAATGTAAGCGGTTCCCCTAGCATGGGAGCAATTCCTGTCTGAGACGTGCCAAACAAAAGTTTGTCTATTTCTAGGGCAACACGCGGGAAACGAGCAAAACATGCGGTCTTGTGCCTGCCTGGAGGCTCAAGGAACAACAGGCCGTATGGGTAAGACGCCATCATCCAATGAAAGGGCCGCAAGCCGAAGGCTCATTTTGGTTTAGCAGCAGCTTCTAGGAACATCAACAGTAATTCCAAATAAGACAGCTAAACGAACGGAATAACGCACATCAACATTTTCCCTTATTTACGGTAGCCTTCTACCAGGAGAACTCTCGGCATTCAGGCGCTTTTAAAGCCGTTGCCTACGCAGGAAAATCCGTACTTGGAAATGCGACAGCTTAGAGGTAGAACTCAAGGCGTATCTGATTCTCGTTGGCCATGTTCTTGATCCTCAGCCGGACTTTGCTCATCACAGCCGCCAGAAGAGAACTGCTTGTCGTCCCGTCTCCACAGCTCCCACAGCGGGTTTGCCAATTGGCTGTCTTTGTACGCCTGGGCGAGAATGGCCCTCTTCAGGTCAATTATTTCCCTAAATTCCGGGCGTCTTCCTTCCTTATATACTGACAGTGCCAAACATAGTCGATTGACGAGCCTGTTCAACAGTTTGGTTTTTTTCCTCCCTCGTCGCTCAGTAACAAAATAGGCTGTAGGGAACTTCTGTACAAACGCAGGCCACCATCTGCCGGTATTCATCTTGTCCCCAACGACCTCAATTGTGCAAACCAGGTAGTCAAATACCATAAACAAAGACGACAACTTCATAACCAGGTAGGCGCCCGTAAATCTCCTAGATGGGCGTGCCAATCTGTACGCTGCGTAGTTTACCAATAGTTCAGCTTCCGTCAGTAGAGCGTCCACGTCTTTAGCCGTCAGAGAAGCCTTGGAAAACAAAATGCGCATTGTCATGTACACATGCATCGGCTGAGCAATCTTTAAATCAACTGACAATGCTGTGATCACATTGAAGCTTCTGCGGACGTCCTTCGGATTTACCACTGGCAATCGCACAAAAGGATGCAGACGAATGTTACCA